CAGAAATTCTAAAATCTGTAATATTAAATTAAGCCTGTAATATTAAATTAGCTAGCGACGTTATCGAGGGCACGTAATACGGACGAGCGTAGCAACATTTAGAGAGACGTAGCAAAAGGCAAATGCGCGCTATTCAGGTATCCTAACTCTCTCTCTATCTCTCGAAGTCAGTGGAACTTTGATTAATACTACTCAGCTTCTCATTTACATTTAATGCAAATCTAAAACCTTATTCTGGTAAGGAATTGTAAGCTGAAGCTAGAAGAGAAGGAAAGGTGCTTAAAATAATTGTTACAAAATTAGGATATATTTTACAAATTTAATGAATTTTTGATTAACAAACTCAACGATTTCGAAGCAAACCATGGCAACACTGTAAGGGAAAAAAATAAACTTTTTTTATCTCCAGCGCGTGACTGTGTATCAGAAATTTTAAGGATATGCTTCTTTTAAAATTATTTTGCGATATTGCTGTTGAACAGAGTTTTATTATTTATTTCTCCCACTTTACTAGCGTGCCTTCGTGGCGTGGTGGTTGTGCAGGCTGGGCCGGTATTCCAGAGATCCGTGGTTCGATTCCCGGCGAAGGCGGTTAAAAATTTTTGATCTTGGCTCGTTCCAAATTCCTAATGTCTCTACAGTGGAGCCTGAACTAAAAGGGTTGCGGATGATGACTCTCCACACGCAGGATTTGGCGATTGGGTCCCCTAAAAACCCCAGTCGCCCTTTAAAAGGGAGAGTATGTAAGGTATTTCTCCCACTTTCTTAGAGTGCTTTCATGGTGTAGCGGTTCTGCACGCTGTGCCTGTGTTCCAGATGTCCGTGGTTCGATTCCGGGCGAAGGCGGTTGCAAATTTTTCATCTCACCTGCTTCCAAATACCTAATGTCTCTACAACTTTCACGCGTGCTGCAAGATTTCACATTGTCCCTTCCACTTCAGCAGTCCAATCAGATCCTAGTTTATTCATTTCTCAGATAGTTCCTCTGAGTTTTTCTTTTTCTTCTTGGCCTCTACCCTTTTTTACTTCCTTTGCGAAGTAAAGAAAGTATTGTAATTACGAAAAATTCCGGGTATCAACAAAAATAGTCAGTTCGACTTCTATTGAATGCAATTTAAAGATGTTTTTGCGTGACATCTGTACGTAAGGACAGAATAAAAGACTCTTTTCCTCCAAACGAGTCATAAAACTGATTTAAAATGGCTTCAGAAGAGTTTTTTTTTTTTTTTCATGGCATTTGTACGTGCCTACGTATGTATAATATATATATCGCATAACTGAAGAACGAGTAGCCTCAGAACGTTGAAATTTTGTAGCTAGGACTGCTATAATATAATATGTAGCTGTGCACCTCCCTTTTTTGGTTATAATCGGCCGCACCAAAACTATATAAATATATATATATACACCTACTGTGTTACTAGACTCAGTGAGCTCAGTTTTTTTTTTAATTCTTATATGTTGGTAAATAGACTCGGCTCCGTTTTTTTTTAATTCTTATATGTTGGTAAATAGCTCAGTTTTTTTTAATTCTTATATGTTGGTAAATAGACTCAGCTCAGTTGTTTTTAATTCTTATATGTTGGTAAATAGCGCATATTTCGCTTTAAAAATGATTGAATTATGTTGTTCTTATCTTCCGGTTAAAGTTTTTATGCCTTTAGTTAATCTCCATGAGATAGATGTAGAATAGGCCTAATTTTTGTTTACCATAGCAGCTATATTTGTTTGCATTTGAAACTTAGTAGAATAGTAAATTAAGTAAGTTTCTGCACCTTCAGTGTCTTTTTGCCGAGCGGGATGAAAATTAAGTTTGGTGCCCCGAAAAATCTGTCTTCGTGCCCGTTGGCCGAATTGTTTGTTTTAAAGAAGAAACTCTTAATTTGAATTGTAAAAATTGTTTTTTTAATTGTTTTAACTGCATTTGGTGTTTTTTATATTTCAGTTTTTCATAAAGATATTTTGAGGTTTTATGTATTTTTGCCTTGTCGCGAAGTGAGAAATGAATTAATTGAAGAAGAAATATATTTGTAATAAATTTCGAGGAAATAAGTTTAAATGAAATGCAGCAAAAATGCGCATAATTTAATATTCCGTACAAGGAAGTCATGTGGCGTACACATCAGAATTGTTTTCTGTAGTTTTCGAAGAAATGTAGGTATTTAATAGTGAAACACTGCTTCAGGTTCAGGCTGCTTTGCATTATGTTTCGTTACTTGCGAAAATTTGTATGAAAGAAAAGTCTGCATTAATCTAAGCATTCAGAAATACTGTTATATATCAAGACTTCAGTTTCAAGACAATTAGAGCAGAAGCAAATTTCTGCTACAGATTTAAGGAAGATAGGCAAAGAAATTGCAATTGTGATGACATGGTGAATCCTAAAGACTATGCTCTCTTTCATCCCCCCCCAAACCGAATCTCAGATGACTCAGCTTTAATCTCCATTTGACATCCAAAGTCTTGAGTCATCTTTAGTCTCCAAAAGCACTTCTAAGTCTTCTATTTTGATAGGTTTGTTCGTAATTTGTGACAGTACTCCAATATATGTAGCATTTCTAGTTATTTGGGCTGAATTTTTAATACACCATTCTTCTTTTTTGTCATAACTACGGTTCTGAGATTAACTGGGTATGATTTGCGCACTTTACGCAAAGAAATTAATGAGTCAGTTTAGCTTTTTCCTTATGGCTAGTTTAGCTCATGAAAGATCTCATAAAAATGCTGCTATAAAATAGGAAAATTTGTTTAATTTACTACCTGAAATTGCATATCAAGGAAAAAAATCTGATGTGTACACCACATGATTTCCTTGTACGGAATATTAAATTATGCGCATTTGTTTCTTGCATTTCTTTTAAACTTATTGGATTTAATTAAATCTACTTCGCCGACAGCGCATAAACCACAATAGAATAAAGGCATTCTTTAAAATTCACTCAATTTGTTTAAGATAGCGACACTCTGGCACTACGTTCACTTAACAGTATTATATTTCATTCATATTATAACTCAGAATGCACAAAATGTATATCATTTAAAGAATTATCTAATCGTTGCCACATGTTCTTTTCAAATACTATAATAAAGCTAGAACGATGTAAAAAATAAATTAAGCAAACAAAACAAAAAAGAAACAGTTTTTCACAGACGATTGAGTATTTCTCATTCAATTAATTCAGTTTTCCCTTCGCGACAAGACAAAAATACATAAAAGCTCAAAATATCTGTATTAAAAATTACTAATTATTAAAAATTAAATTACTAATTATTAAAAATTAAATAAATCTTAAACACTTATTTCCTCGAAAACATTCCAGAAAAGATTAAGCATGATTTAATTCGCAATAATAAATGAAGGCGTTATTTTTGTTGTTGCGAAGCAGGCTGTTTCTATATTAACTGCCAAAGTACTACTATTAAGTCTATATTTATATCGCAAAGAAATTTTTGAATGAATAAAATGGAAATTTAATGTCTCTCTAGATTGGCAACAAATCTACATTTCTGCTGTTTCAAATGTAAACAAATATGTCCGCCATGTTATTTAAAACTTAACCGCACTTAAAAAACTTTTAAATTGTTGATAATTGTACAAATATTCCTTCCAGAATTACGAAAGGCATAAAAACCTTAACCGGAAGATAAGAACAACATAATTCAAGCATTTTTAAAGCAAAAAATGTACAATTTACAAACATATAAGAGTAAAGAAACTGAGATCACTGTGCCGAGTAACAAAGTGGATATATATATAAATATAGTATTTATATACGTTTGGTGCGGCATATGGCAACCAAAATACGAGGTGCACATCTACATGTTATAGTAGTCCTATATACAAAATTTCAACGTTCTGAGGCTACTCGTTTTTGAGGTATGCGAGATACGTACGTACGCACGTACGTTCGTACAGACGCCACGAAAAATTCTCTTCAGAATTCATTTTAAAGCAGTTTTATAATTTTTTGGAGGAAACGAGTCTTTTATTCTGCCCTTACGTACAGATATCACCCAAAAACATCGTTAAATTGCATTCGATAGCGGTCAAAATGGATATTTTCGTTGAAATATGCTGCCTGAAACTTTTCGCGATTACAATACTTCCTTTTTACTTCGTACAAGGAAGTAAAAAAACTTTTCGAAAGTTGTGGCTGGCAGGTATTTAATATACATAAGCATATGAACAACAGTGAAAACGAACATTTCACCTCAGGCTGATATCTGGGAAATACACAGATATATCATATAAAAGCTTTATACAAAGAGTTTCTGTAAAAAGGTTTTGCACAATGTTATTAAATGTTGCGATTTTTAATCTAAGAAGCAGGCTGTTTGTATATTAACTGCCAAAGTACTACTATTAAGTTTTTATTTATATCGCAAAGAAATTTTTGAATGAATGAAAAGGAAATTTTTCTCTATAAATGCATATAAAATTCTTCTCCATAACGAAAGAGATTCTTCTCTATATAAAATTCATCCCTATAAATACTGAAAATTCAAATGCAGAAGCATTTGATTTACTTATAATGAAGCGTCATTTTGACTAAGAACACAATTGCGTACCAAATTTTTAATCAAATTCAAAGAATTTTTTGAATTAATTTCAAAGCGTGAAAATTTTAAACACAATTCTTGGTTCAAATCAGTTCTCGACTGCATAATACGAAAATATAAAGATAGCTTTTTTTCCCACCTTTAAAAAATAAACCTCTTCCTTTGCTCTAACTTGAAGATTATTTTAAAGTCGTTTTGATGGCATAATTTTCATCAGATATTGGAAATGCTTTACACTTAGTTAAGAATGATTTAAAAAATAAACTACTATTCATTTACTGAAATATTTCAAATAAGTAAACAGCAGTTTTTTTCAGCAGATTAACATTAACACTACTCCGATGATTCTATCAGCAGAACTTCCATTAACGTTACTCAGATTATTCCACCTATTTTGAGAGGCTTCAAATGTAAAATAAATAGAGAAAAGCAATTACAAATGTCAGTCTATAACAATTATTTATTATAACATAATTAATAATTTAATTCCAGAAGCGTTTTAGATATAAATCCACAGTAGAAGATGTTTACAAGATTGCCTTGCCAAGTCCACCACCAAGACCAAGAAGTCCATTTCCGTAAGCAACAGGAGCCGCAGCGATTCCGTGACCAATAGCACCGGCTCCGAGAAGTCCGTTTCCATAAGCAACAGGAGCGGCAGCAATTCCGTGACCAATAGCACCTGCTCCGAGAAGTCCGTTTCCATAAGCAACAGGAGCGGCAGCAATTCCGTGACCAATAGCACCTACTCCGAGAAGTCCATTTCCGTAAGCTAAAGGTGCAGCGGCGATTCCGTGTCCAGCAAGACCGCCAGCGAGCATTCCATTACCAACCATGGCAACTGGAGCCATAACTGCACTTTGGTAAGTCACTGCAGTGGGCGCAGCAACGATGGCCTTGCCAAGTCCGAGTCCATATCCGGCTCCCATCAGTCCACTTGCTGTTGCAGCTGCCACAGCAGCGAAGAGAATAACGATCTGTTTTAAAACAAGATAAAATGTCAGATACAAAAAAAAAAAAAAAAAAAAAAAAAAAAAAAAGTGCATTATAGAAACCATTATTTTAAATTCGATGCAAATGTTTATAACTTATGTAACAGGGAAGGCACCTGAGTACTTATAAAAAAATTTGGACAAAATATCTGAAGCAAATTACACGCATTGACCAATGAATTAGAAAACTTTCAGATTTTCATTTGAGTGCGTGCTAGAGATGAAGTACGCAATTTTTTTTATAATATGGGTTGCACGTAGTTAGAATGTCCAGTATCTTCTTTCCCGACACCACTTGCAAACGAATTCTTGCATGTCCGGCAGAAATGAGTGGTTTTATCACAGGCACCCGACTATGCATTTCTATCCTCTGCAATTCTTTGCCAAAGGTCCTAACTGAAATCTGTAGGGAAGAACCTTTTTTGACGATCTGTGTCAGTTGAAGTACAGTAGAGTCCTCGTTCTGGCGTACAATTCGTCGGAGAAGACTCTCTTTAGGAACTCTCTTTAGGAACTGTGCTCGAACCACAGTTATGTTCACCTAGAAGTAAATATAAGAGTGCTTTTCACGTTAAATGAAGTAAAATGTTAAAATGAAGGCTTTCGCCGAAATGAAGTCGTTAAATGAAGTCTTTCGCCATTTGAAAAAGGGCTTATTGTTGGCATCCGATTAGTAGGGGCCTCGATTTCAAAGACAAGAAATCTCACTGGGTTCTCAAAAGCAGCCATATCAAAGGTTTTCAAAAGTTGGATTCAGAACCCATAGCCCTTCTCTAGAAGACGCAACTGTGGTTCGAGCACAGTTCCTAAAGAGAGTGACCGGAGTCTTCTCCGACGAATTGTACGCCAGAACAAGGACTCTACTGTACTTCAACTGACACAGATCGTCAAAAAAGGTTCTTTCCTACAGATTTCAGTTAGGACCTTGGGCAAAGAATTGCAGAGAATAGGAATGCATAGACGGGTGCCTGTGAAGAAACCACTCATTTCTGCCCGAAATGCAAGAATTCGTTTGCAGTGATGTCGGGAAAGAAGATACGGGACGTACGTCGTGGTGGGATGAATCACGCTACATCTTATTCTGCACAAATGGAAGGCGTCGAATTTGGCGAGAACCCCATGAAGCCATGAATCCGTCTTGACTTACTCGCACTGTGCAAAGGTCTGGTGGTAATATCATGATACCGGGCATGTTCTGCTAGCATGGAAGCAGTGCCCTGGTGCTTCTCGAGGGTAAACAAACATCTATAAGATACCTAGATATGCTGGCAGTTCAAGTACACCCTGCAATGTTGCATTTTTACCCAGATGGCGATAGATACTCGGACGATAGTGCAACTACACATCGTGCCAGACGTGATCAAAATTGAGTCGCTGAACATCAGTCTGACTTCCAACACCTTCCCTGGCCACCGCATAGCCCAGATCTTAAAAACCCCATAAAAAATGTATGGAATATGGTGGAAAGACGCATCCGACAACACTCTTCTCTTCCATCTAATTTACAAGATCTAAAAAGCTCCATAGCACTCCAGAAGCATGTAGACTCGATGCCCAAACGAATCAGAGGAGTTATCCGTGCAAAAGGTGGTCCAATAAAATATTGATCTTGGGTATCTAATTCGTTGGCCAGTGTGCGTAGCTTGTACAGAAGGACCACATTGTGAAAACTAGAAAATTTCATATTTCACGTTAGAAAATCCAACTCTTTCTCACGTTGGAAGGGGAGATTCATTGCAATGAATAACATTCGTTTAATGTTTCAAACTTTGTATGAATTTTACATGAAATTCGTAATTTGTTACATTTCCCTCCATTTCTTAACATACAAAATATCAATTAATCCTTTCGGTTTATTACATAGTTGCTAGCATCCATTTTTAGTTTCTTTTATTGGAAATTTTGATTGTTTGAATGAAACTACATGAAGAAAATAGCAGTGGATAAGGTTTTCGTAACTGTAATGTATGCATGACATTTATTATATGCCTTGCCCCACTCAATTAAGAGGGAATTATTCTATGGATTGTTTCTTGCGTGCTGTCTGTTATACGTACTTCGAATTTCCATCTATCTGCGCACTACTCAATCATAACAATTTATAAGTTATTTCAATACAATTTTGTGCATATTTCTTACTAGTCATGCTCTTTCATAAAGCATACACTGCATCTTATTAACGGATTAAAAATTTCAATTGTCGTTAATATCTGTGACTCATAGAAAATGAGTCACAGATACTTAAAGTAACTTAAAGGGAGTTAATTAGGTAGATAATAGTTAATTTATTCAATGCATTTCGTATCATCTTCTTCTTATAACATATGCGGAACAGATACAGCATTATTACATATATTATTTGCTTAACAAATAGACAAAATGGCGTTGCATGTCTCCGAAGTTCTACAATAATTCCATTAAAGACAAGCAGCATCTAGAATTCTACAAGCAGTGATTCAGTGACAATTCTATATTCAAAATACCCAATCTAGTTTAAAAAAAAATTCAATTGAATATCAGAAATTCTATAATCTAATCTAACATCTATTTGGCAGCATTCAAACTCTGTCATAACAAATTGAAAATCAAGTTCTCAAGTTCAAACTGTTGCCATTCAGAGGCAGAAAAATGTTACCGATCAAACTGGAACATACAATATTTATTTCAGTTTGTCCGTGTCATTATGGATTCATACTCAAATTTTTAATCATTTGAGTGAGTTGATTTGAATATTGCTTTAATTCACAAATGTACAAATTAGATTGTACACAAGTTAGAATGATATTTTATTCTGACAACAAATCAGCAGTAGAGCATAAATCTGTTGTATTTCGTTTTTTGTAAAACTCATGGCCTTGTAATTTTCAATATTCTTCCCCTTTGTTAATTTCTACAGTTTGCATGCAATTGTATTAATTTCCCACAATCCCATAATGATTTTGAAGGTGTTATATTTAAAAGAAATCTTTCTCTTAACTTAATGATAATTAACTCTTATTGTTAATTAATAAAATTTCTTTGGCTGCTTAATTTAAATTGTTAAGAAGTGTCTTAATAAATAAATTCCAGAAGTCTCATTTCAAAAATTTTTTTTTTAAATTTATATGCTGAGTAAAGCTGAAGAATAAATGAAACTTTTTACTTTAGTACTTACGTTTTAATACACCTGAAACAAATGAACTTAAGTCGAGGATGCAGTAAATAATAAGCAAATGGCAACTTTTAAATGTTCTTTTGCGCCTTGTTCGATGTTACTATGTTCTCACAGAATTCATAAATGAGAATATTAATGCCAACTATCAACTACTAAATGTTTTACATATTTTTATCACCAAAAATTATTAATTCTCTTTTCTTGTCAATTTGCGTATTATTTATAATCAACATTCAGTCATTCTTTGTTATAAACTGTCCAAATGTTATGCCGCCTAACAGATATAGTGGTTAGCGTCACTGACTGCCGTGCCGAAGCGCCTGGGTTCGAATCCCGGAGAAAGCGTGATGTTTGTAAATGTATAGTGTCCGTGCGGCATGGGGGGCACTTTAAATATGCGACGAGCCGAAAGCCCTCTCGAGAGGTTGCTGGTAGTGGAAGAGGAGCGGGAGGTAGGGAATAGGGGGACCCGTTCCCTCGGGTGCTCTCCATCAAAATTGAGGGCAGAAGAGTGCTAAATTGCACTGTCATCTGTACGGTGCTTAAGACTGTTGCCAACGACAGGTGTATCTTATGCTCTTTGCCACGACGTATTTCGTGGGCTTCCGCTGACTATAGGTCAGACAAGTGAGCATTAGTCAACAACAACAACCAGTTGTTATAAATAGGTATAATGGCTACAAAGTAATAGAAATGCCTCATTTAAAACCATATAGATATTATGCTTTCGACTGGGAATTTCATTTGTTCACCAAACTAAACATTGCCAGCATAATTTTCGTGAAATCACAATAACTAAATTTTATAAAATAGCATAAATAACGAGATAAATAATGCGTACCTTTACGAACATGATGAAGCAGGTTGAGGTACAAAGCTAGAACAGCTAATAATTGTCTCGGTCTGTATAAACCTTTATATACTAATCAATCCCCACATGTTGGATACCTGTTCAGGAAGCTTTATGGAAATAAAAGACATTAATCAATAATACAAGAAATCACTGTCCTTGAGCAGTAACTTAGGGATATCCGTTCAGCTCATTTGGCATTGGAAGGATGCAGAAGAATGACAACTTCGTATGAAGGCCGGTAATGTGTTGCTGTTGTTACGTATTATGACAAGTTTGTCTTCCTCTCCGTAATGTGAAAGAATATTTTTAAATACTGCCACATTAAAACTCTGCAAAACTATAATAGCTTTCTATACTCGATAAAATGCCATATGTTTATAAGAATTTTCTAGAAAATGCAACTAATCCGTATTGCATAAAACAGACTACCCAGCGAGTTGCTTCCTAATTCTTTACTGTTAAAGAATATTTAATTCTAATTTTACTTTTAAGAAGAGTCTTTACTGTTCCTAATGCTTTACTGTTAAAGAGGTACTCTTTACTGTTTCTAATTCTTTACTGTTCCTAATTTTTTACTGCTAAAGAATATTCTTTACTGTTCCTAATTCTTTACTGTTAAAGAAGTATTCTTTACTGTTCCTAATTCTTTACTGTTAAAGAATATTCCTTACTGTTCCTAATTCTTTACTGTTAAAGAAGTAGTCTTTACTGTCCCTAATCCTTTACTTTAAGAGAAGTAGTCTTTACGGTTCCTAATTCTTTACTGCTAAAGAAGTACTCTTTACTGTTCCCAATTCTTTACTGTTAAAGAACATTCTTTACTGTTCCTAATCCTTTACTGTTAAAGAATATTCTTTACTGTTCCTAATTCTTTACTGTTAAAGAAGTAGTTTTTACTGTTAAAGAATATTCCTTACTGTTCCTAATTCTTTACTGTTAAAGAAGTACTCTTTACTGTTCCTAATTCTTTACTGTTAAAGAAGTAGTCTTTACTGTTAAAGAATATTCCTTACTGTTCCTAATTCTTTACTGTTAAAGAAGTAGTCTTTACTGTTCCTAATTCTTTACTGTTAAAGAAGTACTCTTTACTGTTCTTGTCTGTTAAAAGAATTATAACTTGCAGAAAGTTGCAAAATTTGTTGACTGACATCTATTGATGGCAAAGCGTTTAACGCTCATGTCTGCTGCCACTATCAACTAACTACTTGTCAGTATATTAAAAATAGAACTTCTGAGAATGAAAGAAATTTAATTAAAATGCTTGTCAAAAAATCTTAAAAAATACACAATATAATTTTTTTGGCTCGACTAACTCTAACCACGAATTAAAAAATTTTTGTAGTCGAAAGGACGTTAGTCCAGAAGGGCTATTAATTTCGTTTTAGCATTTTGCGTCGAAAACTTTAAATGTCCGTTTCCCTTTTCAAATTCTTGCCACCAAATAATAACGCCCTGTGTTATATTTAAAGAAATTAAAGAATGAAGAATATACATTATTGTATGTATGTTTCTCGCACTGTGATATAACATCAGTACCTAAAGCCATCCAGTTTTGAATAACGTAATCCTCCCCTGAATATGGGCATGTAGAAGCCCTACTTTGGAATTTGGAGTTTGTTTTATTATCGGTTTCATGTTTTGTAACACTTTAACGAATTTTTGATTAACAAACTCAACGATTTCAAAGCTAGCAATGGCAGAAAAAGGGAATAAAGTACCTTGTAAATGAACTCTTTTCCTCGATGATCTGTTATATTACTACTTAACTTTATTGGTTATCAAACTCGTAAATTCGGTTCTTTAATTTTTCACAATATTTCTTTATAATTAGGCTTTTCAATAACTATTCATAAGCAAATGACACTGAAACGCTGTATATAAATGTAATTACAAAATAGTATTACAGTACAAAGTCCGTAATCCGGACTCGTCGGAACTTCGGCGATTCCGGATTAGGGGTTTTTCCGGATTATAGATCATCAATTTAAATCTGGTAAGGTGGCATGCAGAAATTATACAATTAAAAATATGAAACCGTAATTTATGAAATAAAGAGCAATTATTATCTAAAGGCTATCAAAATTTACAAAAAAAAAAAAAAAAAAAAAAAGCTTAATACTTATTTGTTTACTTTATTAAACATTTCTTTCAATGTAAGTTGTTTAAGTTGCTTCTTTTTTTTTGTGTGGTAATACTTTCTCTTTAATTCTATAAACAGACATAATTTCTTGTTCAGTTACAAAGTTCCACTGTTCAAGTCCTGTAATTGCTGTGTCGAGAATACCGACTAACTTGTCAATCGAAATTGTTTCGTTTTCAATAACCTCTCTGTCACTTTCTTCACTATCGGAAGTGCGCATGGCTAAACGCTTTATGTGCATGCGTAGCGGACGCGCGCATTAAATGCGCATGCGTAAGTTTGTGGCTTTGAGGTCCGGATTATAGATCATTCCAGATAATGGACGTCCTGATTACGGACTTTGTATAAAAATTATAAAAAAGAGTATTTTATTTTCTCTGTGATAGAATGTTAAAAACAGTACCACTGTGTTTAAATTTGATTTGATAGATACAGTTTAATATTCATATTTTGAATAATCCAGCTTACATTATCTCTTAATAATTGCGTTTTGAAAAACAATTTACGCGAAAATTTTATTTTCAATAAATTGTTCTTAAAGATACCATTTTCAGCAATTTGGACGAAAACGTGTTCAAATATGATTTTTAAGTAATGCTGCAATAGATTGTATGTCACTGCATTACGATCGAAATGCATCATATCGATTGCATGAAATATATTCTTATGGGCAGGAAATGCACAGCCATTTTAATAAATAATTTGTAAGATTCTACCCTGTGTACTTTTAAGTTGCTATTTAAGTTTAAGAATCTTAAGAACTGATAAGCGAATAATCGCTTAAGTTCATCAGACAGAGAACAAAACGTATACGAAGGGTGAAATTACCCTTTATTATTCCAAATTAATTTCACAGAACTCCTTTTTGGAGTTTTACAATAAAGCTTCCCCTTTGGCTTGAACACAGGAACTAAGAAATTAAACTTAACTAAAAAGATATAGCCGAAGCTATCAAAATTCTAACAGAGATGGCCCCTTAATGCTAAATAACGGCGAAGCTATCAAGGGCCTAAAGTACGGCCGAGCGTAATAATAGCTTAAGAGAGAGTAGCCTAAATTGGCGGACGCGCGCTAATCAGAATCACTGGTTTTCTCTAACGAAGTCAGTAGAACTTTTAAGGACACGAAGTTATGATGTATCGAAGTGGACAAGTAGTATTTACTTGAACGATGAACTTAACAAAAGTGAACATAGAATAGCCTACACAACATCATATACTTTGGGCAATGGAACTATCAACTGCCTGAACTGATGTGACTGGCTTACTCTGTGGATAACTTCAAAATTAATACGGACACACATCATTAGGTGTGTAACTGATAAGAACATGAAGTTATGACGTACTGAAGAAGACATAGGTTTAGAAACTGGTTAATATATAAGTTTCACTCTCCACAACATAGATCCTATCCATGACAATGTAATTATTAATTGATCGTATATTTATTTTTCATACGGATTATTATGTAACAATTATTGTATAGATGACATTGTCAATTTAGCATTCTAATATTACTATCATTGATTCAGTGAATTCCGCTGGCGGTGGATGGTAGATTCTTTTCCGTCGCATGAACGTATAACTCTGATTTGTAGAACCATAGGTCGGAGGTCCATGCGACTGCGTATCAGTAGAACTTCACAGTTAAATACTTCTCCTCATTTGTATTCAAACGCGATTCTAAAAATACGTTCTGGCCGGAAGTTGTAAGCTTGAAATTAAAAGAAGATAAGACAGTAACTTCAACTCAAAATTTAACTGTTAGATAAATTAACATAATCCTTACAAATTAATGAAAGGAAATATTTAAAATAAATATAATAGTTCTAAAAAAATCGTAAAAGATTTTTTCCACTCTCAAAATATACTCGTTTTATAGTCATCTTATCAAGAAATTCCACATTTATTAATTCAAAAGTTCGTGTGAAGATTTACAGTTACTTCTCATCCCCTCTCGCCGCTGCCAAAAGTATGAGAATTTCAGAGCCCATAATATAGATATCATGCTGAAAAATTTATGTAAAGAATGCACGGAAAAGAACTGTACTAATTTTGAAGCTTAAAGCTAGGCAACTGACAGTCGCCTATATTGGTAATGATGATTAAAAATGGCGGAGCATTATGCCAGGATAAATAGACTCATTTTTACTTTCTTGTGTGAAGTAAAGGAAGTATTGTAATCACGAAAAATTCCGTGTATCATATTTCAACTAAAATATCTATTTTGACCGCTATCGCATGCAATTGAACGATGTGTTTGCGTGACATCTCTACGTAAGGACAGATTAAAAGACCTCTTTCTTCCAAAACGGTTTATAAAATTGGTTTAAAATGGATTCAAAAGAGACTTTTTCATAACTTCTGAACGTACCTATGTATGTATCTCCCATAACTCAAAAACGAGCAGCTCAGCACGTTGAATTTTTTTATATAGGACTGCTATAACATGTAGTCGTGCATCTCACTTTTTGGTTGAAATCGGCCGCACCGAAAGTATACATACGTATATATATATATACATTTTGTTACCCGGCTCCGTGGGCTCAGCTTTTTTATTCTTCTGTGTTGGTAAATTGTGTATTTTTTGCTTTAAAAATCATTGAATTGTGAAGTTCTTATCTTCCGGTTGAAGTTTTTATGCCTTTAATTAATCTGCAGGCAATACTTATAGAATTACCAACAAATTAAAAGTTGTTTAAGTGCAGCTTAACCTATTTTTTTTTAAATTTTTTTTATTTATTTATTTATTTTTTTTTTTACCAGAGCAGCCATATTTGTTTACATTTGAAACATAACAGAATAGTGAATTAAGTCAGTTTCTGCACCTTCTATGCCTTTTTGACGAGTGGGTTCAAAAGGAAACTGCATACTTCCATATAAGTTATATATATTACTTATACGGAAATGAAGGCATGCAGAAAGAAGGGAAAAAATACGTTATAAGGTATGCAGTCATTCATATTTGGGATGGGGGAAAGAAATGGAACGAACAGGAAAAATAAATAAATAAAATTAAATTTAAAAAAAGTAAAATCTGAAAGCCTTCAGATTATATATTACGCACAAAGGGGCGGTTTTTTTTTTTTTTTTAACGTTTTGTGTGTTAATATCATGTTTGTGTGTTATCATTAATTAAGTATCATATTCTTTGCACTTATATCTTAAAATCCAATTCAACAGCAATATCACAAAACAAGAAGCCTCGCACTTTATGTAAATGTTAACATTGCGCGAAGAATGTTAACATCGCGTGTTTGAAGATGCTCGCAATGTTTACATTAATGGATCGCTTTGAAATCGTTGAGTTTCTTAATAAAAAATTCGTTAAAGTTTTATTTTACAAAACATGAAATAGATAATAAAAAAATTCCAAATTCGGGCTTCCAGATTCCCATATTCGAATGGAGGAGTACGTTATTCATAATTGGATGTCCCTAGGAAACGTCGTTTTTTCGCAGTGCGATAGACGTGTATACTTTCATCCAGATTCTTCATTATTTAATTTCTTTAAATATATTGCAGGGCTCTAATATTTGGTGGTAACAATTTGAAAAGTGAAGCGCCGTTTGTAGTGAACCAACGCAAAATGGCAAAAGGAAATTAATAGCCCTTCTGGGCCAACGCTCCTTTGGGTTAAGAGTAAAATATCCGTTTCAAATATGCATCATTATGCAAGTTATGCATCACTTTTTGAAGCTTAATATTACCTTCTTAATTGCGTTTAATGTAACATTCTAATAAATGCCTACAGGTTTTGTTAAATTTTGCACACTTACTCAAATTATATTATTCTCAGGGTAGATGTAATTAATAAATACTGAAATACATAACACAGAATTACCAGTGTTCGAGATTTGTATAAGTTAACGTTACAGATTATAAGGAAATAAACATTACTCCGAGTACGAAGGCCGTACCACTTTGCCTTCAAGAATAGACGAGGTCTCAATGACACTATATTGACGAATAACTGTCTCCTCGGCCCTTACCGGATTGTGGAAAACAGGAAAATTTTTTGATTGTATTTTTATACATTTATTAGTATAAAAGGTGGTCGGTATCGGACAGAAACCAATTCAGACAGCTCAGTCACATTCTCATCATGATCGCAAAAGGTAAGAAATTGTTCTTTTACCCCTCTAAATTAATGAAAATACTAATAAAAAACTGATTTTATATTACCCCCAAGAGGAGGTCCCTAAAATTGGCGCTATCAGAGTTTTTAATTAATATTTAAGGTGATTAAAGTCGTACGAAGATGGGAATAATCGAAATGGCTTCCCACGAATTTTTTTCGAATCGGAAATAATGTATTTAAGGTTTGGCAATGCTACTTTTATTTCATCGTAAAACTTAGAAATTTTTGTTTAACAAACTCTAGGATTAGAAAGCGAGCAGTGGCAACAGCTTTCGAAATAAAGCAGATTTTCATCTCAAGTTTGAGAGGCTGTTGCCACTCGGAAAAATGAGAGCGAAAGTGATCGTTTTTCCGAATTTTTAATTAATATCTCTGATTCTAGTTTTTTTTTTTTTTTTTTTTTTTTTTTTTTTTTTTAGTCCAAAGGGATTTGAATCCCGAAGGACTATGAGTTTCGTTTTGGCATTTTGCGTCGGACGGATAAATGTCGGTTCACTTTTCAAACTGTTGCCACAAAATGTTAGAGTCCTGCATTATATTTGAAGAAATTAAATAATGAAAATCTGCGTAAATGTATGTATATTTCTCACATTGTCATAAAATAACGGTACATAGAGTCATCGAATTTTGAATAACGTAATCCTCCAACGAATATGAGCATGTGGAAGACCAAATTTGAAATTTGAAATTTGTTTTATGATCGATTTCCTATTTTTTAAAACTTTGACGAATTTTTGATTAACAAACTCAAGGATTTCAAAGCGAGCAATGGCAACGTTGTGCAGAAAAAAAAAAACACTTTTTATCTCCAGCGCGTGAGTCTCTGTATCGGAAATTCTAAAGATATGCTCGTTTTAAAACTATTTTGCGATATTCCTGTTGCACTGGATCTTATGGTTTAAGTGCGAGGAACATGATATTTAATAAAGAAAGGTAACACACAAAATGTTAAAAAACGCCCCTTTGGACGTAATTTAAAATCTAAAACATTTCAGATTTTTTTTTAATTTTTTTTTTTTTTTTTTTTTTTTTTTGAAAAGGTGCACGTCGACATTTTCCAGGACCCAGAAAAGAATTGTAGAAAGTTTGGAGTTTGGTGACGATAGCTATAGTAGTAACAGAGTTATTAGCGAACAAAGATACTGTCTTCTTTATGTACCGATAATAAAACTTTACGTTTTATGAATAATGTTTAATCATAATGTTAAAACCAGAATTAATAAAGACTTTTTCTTCCTAGGTCGTATTCTTGTGCGCTGCTTTCGCAGTATCTCATGCCAACGTCCACCTCAAAGCACCCCTTGTGAGCACTGGTGTCAGCCAAACATCTAGACAGCAAGATGTAAGTTGCATGTTTTGATTTTGAAATAAAATAAAAGTGAAACTTTCTTTGCACGAAATATTTATAAAATTCTGGCGAAATTGAACTAATTGATATATCTCGCAATCTAATTTTGTAGTACATTCAGAAGTTATCCCACTCTTCAGTTTACACCATTTGCCGACAATTTAATTAATTACGCATAATTTACGTATTTTCTCTATTTTCTCTATCTTTATGTTATGATCATTTCAAATGAAATAATGTTTTATTATGCAAATAGCAAAAAATTATTAACTAAAGAATTATAAAATTTTATCTGAGAGTGTGGTTCTTCGACCCGATATTAAATACCGGCCAACAGCTTGACTGCACGATGGCTTATCTCTTTTATAAGATGAATATGAGCCAGTTCTTTTTTAATTGTCTCCATGAATGGCACCTCCTTGTAAGGCATATTTTAATTTTATAACAGTTATTTTAATTTGGAAAACCTTTCCCATCAATTCTAGTTTCCACTTACAACGCCCTACCAGAATGAGGATTTAGAATCGGGTTAAATGCAAATGAGTTAGAGGAAGTATTTAAGGAAGGTTCAACTACGTGAAGGTTCAACTGAGTGAGTGCTATGAGCCCTTCGTGACGCGTGTTTGCCTTCTGGCTAAGTTATTCGTGAAGCTGTTGTGATCGGCCGCATTATGCGTGCCTATTGGTATCCGCCGGCTAGTTTAATTTAAGGGCCGACTATGTTAGTTGATTGTGTCTAACTTCGTCTAAATCTCGTTTAGTTAATTATACTTTAGTTCTTAGTTCTGAGTTAAAGCCCGAGTAGATGATTTCCTGTGTAGAGACATTAGGTATTTTTTGGAAGCAGGCAAGATAAAAAATAAGCAACGCCTTCGCCGGGAATCGAACCGCGGACCTCTCAATTACGCGCTGAGTGTGCAGACTACTACACCACGAAGGCTCGCCAAACTGCTATTCTTATTAAGTGAACAAAATGGTGTTTTAACCCTTCTCGAGTCTACGTCTTTAGTTGATTGAACTCAACGATAATGCATAGTTCACCAACAATAATGCATAGTTGCATAGGTCACTAAGTTCATCGAAGTTCATCTTAGACAAAGGGCGAAGAAGCCCACACCTTTCCTTTCCGCCCTTGCGTGTTTTGCCAACGAATCCGTTCCTGCTGTTTCACTTGACTAATCAGACACTTAGAGAACTAATTTTTCGTTGAAATTGTTAAGCATTAACTTTTCTGGGCTGTTAATCATATTTTCAACAATTAATGAGTATAATTTTTTCTAGGCTCATGGCAACTATGCTTTTGGTTATGATATTGTTGATAAGCATGGCGCCTCCAACTCCAGAGCCGAAGTCGGTGATGGCTATGGCAACAAAAAAGGAACCTATACCATCCACGACATTGACGGCAGAGCAAGAAGAGTAGATTACGTGGCCGACAAACTTGGATTCCGTGCTGCTGTCAAAACCAACGAACCAGGAACTGCTCATAGCACCCCTGCTGCAGCTGCCATAAACAGCCCCTACGCTGGACCATCCGTCGATCACATTGCGCCTGTTGCCACTGCTGTCGTTGGACATGCCGCTGTTGCAGCTCCCGTAATTGCTGCCGCTCCTGTAGTTGCTGCCGCTCCTGTAGCCTATGGTGGATATGGTCTTGGACACGGTGCAGCAACTGGTTTAGGATATGGCGCCGGCACATATGGAGCCGGAGCATATGGTGGATATAATGCCGGTGCATATGGAGGATATGGTGCCGGCACATACGGAGCCGGAGCATATGGCGGACATGATGCCGGTGCATATGGAGGATATGGTGCCGGCACATACGGAGCCGGAGCATATGGCGGATATGATACTGGTGCATATGGAGGATATGGTGCCGCTACTGGAAAGGGTCTGGTCTACTAATAATTATAACTTTTTCTTTAGGTATCTGAAATTACCTGTGTGTAAAATATTGTTACTTATTTATTTCGCATGTGAAGAATTCTTGAAGGTGTTCTTGATAATAAATCCTATAGATTGAAAATGGTGCTTGTTTCTTTGTTCATTCCATGATAAATGTCTAAAGGAGTTGAAAGACAAACGAAGACATTTGATAAAAAATATGTAAGATTCAGAATGTTGGTAAAGTGCAGTACTAAAAGAAACAGTTTAATAAGATGGGACAACAATAAAAACGAAATTTGATCAAATTTTAAGCAATGGCAAGCATAAAAATCTACAATCAAATTCAAAGAAAGGATTTTTGAAGAAGTTTTAAAAGGAATGTAATCAGGGTACAAAACCTACTTATTGATAATTCTACAAATTCATTACTCGATTACTATTCTTCGTTTGCGGGTATCTGAGTTATTCTTTCTGATTAACCATTAGTTTCATTTAAAATTATTTTACCTATGTTGCTTCAAGCCATTTTATATATATAAGACTTCCAATTTTTTCTTCTAATGTATTGATCACTTAAACAAACAAACACTTGAGCAAAACATGTAAATAAAACATCAATATAAAAAAATTAATAAACTTAATAATACACAAAGGGTAATAATGTGTTATACTGCAGCGAAACAAACTTCCAAAAATGCATATGGTTCAGCAAACACCGATTCTCAATCCACACTTTTGGAATTAGGGAAATATCTCATAGCGTGTATTATATATTAGCCTAGACCTTATCTCACATTTAGTGCTATATAATCTTCCACAGAATATATATAAATAAAAAAAATCTGAAAGGATTCAGATTTTAAATTACGTCCAAAGGGGCGTTTTTTTAACGTTTTGTGTGTTACCTTTATTTCTGAAATATCATGTTCTTTGCACTTAAACCATGAAATTCAGTTCAGCAGCAATATCGAAAATTAATTTTAAAATGAGCTTATCTTTAGAATTTCCGATACAGAGTCTCGCGCGCTGGTGAAAAAAAAAATTTTTTTTCGTACAGTGTTGCCGTTGCTCGTTTTGAAAATAGTTTAGTTTTTGGATCAAAAGTTCTTTAAAGTGTTACAAAATCTGAAATCGATAATAAAACAAATTTCAAATTAGAGCTTCCAGATGCCCATCTCTATGGAAGATTATGTTATTAAAATTTGGATGGCTCTATGTACCGTTGTTTTATGAAAATGCGAGAAACATACATATATTTATGAAGATTCTTCATTATTTAATTTCTTTAGGTATAAGACAGAACGTCAATATATGGTGGCAACGATTTGCAAAGTGATACAGCCTTTTAAAGTTTTCGCCGCAAAATGTCAAAACGAAATTATATCCTTCAGGGCAAATTGTCCCTTTGGACTAAAAATGGTAGAGTTGTACCTATATCTCCCGTTCTAACGGGCCAATTGACGAAATTTTAACTTCCTCTTTTCATGTTTCGAAAGCGATGAATATTAGATTTATTATAGCTTTTTTCTAACATAGGTATTTTGACACAAAATCGGACATTTTCTTAAATGACATACCTATTTTTTTCCATATTTCGATTTTACGACTGAAATTATACCAAAGAGACAAATTTTGTAAAAAATCGCACGAGCAGTTTTTAAACATTAGCTTCAAAATTTTAGCTCTTCGATGTTATTTGAATATGGTATATATTTCTTAATTTCTCTTTTTTTTTATTAAACTTACTGAATTCTTTCTTTAAAATTCGAAACTGAGGTTGAATCCAAATAAAATTCCCATCTATTTCTGATTTGTTTTTTAATTTGTAATTTTTAGTAATTTTTATAAACTTTTCGAAAAAAAAAATGTATTGGTCGTCTTAAAGTAGATGTATTTCTAGGAACACATGCAAAAAATTAGAATTCTTTATTTAAAATTTCCGAAGACATACAGGAACTTATATATTGGTGTGTTTTGAAATTTGGCGTGTTTGTTATAAGCGATAATAACGCTAAACTCAGTTTACGACGCACTCGTTAAAATTATCTGAAAGAATGAACGACACATCTTTTATTTCGCTCTCCTCGTGCACAGTGAAAGGCTTTGGTTTCTTTTGGTTTATGTGATTACGACAAAGCCTCGATAGCTATCTGCATAAGGGAAGGGATTCTTTCGTAGAGGACTTTCTAAGAGAAAATGGCTCGTATACGTGTTACACATGGGAAAAACCACGAAAACGCCCATGCAGGCCGTTCGCAGGATAAAATTAAAGGCCGTTCGCAGGATTTTAAATTACGCCCAAAGAGGCGTTTTTTTTTTTTAACGTTTGTGTGTTACCTTTATTTATTAAATATCATGTTCTTTGCACTTACACCATAAAATTCAGTTCAATAGCAATGTCGCAAAATAATTTTAAAATAAGCTTATCTTTAGAATTTCCGATACAGAGTCTCGCGCGCTGGAGATAAAAATGTTTTTTCTATACAACGTTGCCATTGCTCGCTTTGAAATCCTTGAGTTTTTAATCAAAAATTCTTTAATGTTTTACAAAATATGAATAAATAATAAAACAAATTCCAAATTTCAAATTTGATCTTGCACATGCCCATATTCGTAGGAGGATTACGTCATTCAAAATTCGATGGCTGTATTTACGGTTGTTTTGTCATAATGCGAGAAATATGCATACATTTATGAAGATTTTTCATTATTTGATTTCTTCAAATATAATGCAGGATTCTAACATTTGGTGGCAACAGTTGAAAAGCGAAACGGACATTTATAGTGATTCAACGCAAAATCGCAAATCGAAAACGATAGTCCTTCAGGATCAAATCCCCTTTGGACTATCTATAACATAATAGGTATTTATAAAATACGTAGCTCTCGATGTAGAAAAGTTTATTATGAACTTTTGTACTGGAAAAAATCTCATCTCTGTGACTAAGTATGAATATAGTCTTGTATACGTAATTATAAGTATCTATTTATTAAATAACTGATTTAACAAAACTGAATTTCTATAGGGAAAAAAATATAAATATAGGATTCAAAAAGTGCTAAGCATTCCCTGTATTTACACTGCCAAATGAAATTTATGTACAAAATTCGTACTTTCAAGTGCCCATATTCGGTTGGAGGACCACGTTATTTAAAATTTGATACCTCTAGGTACCGTTATTTTATCGCAATGCGAGAAACATACATACGTTTATGCAAATTCTTGATTATTTAATTTCTTTAAATAAAACACAGGGCGATAATATTTGGTGACAACAATTTAAAAAGTGAAACGTCATTTATAGTGAAACTCAACAAAATGCCCAAATGAAATTAATAGCCCTCCTGGGCTAACGCCCTTTGGGCTAATAAATAAAAATAAATTTAAAATAATTAATTAAAAAAACATGTCTTGACCTTCGTTTTAAATTCCATAATTAGACCATTAACTTTAAACCAGGGTTTCTTAAACTTTTCTCATTCGCGACCCCTTTTTATCACTAAGATATTTCGCCACACCCAGAGCCCCATAATATTTAGAAAAAATTTGTGGGACCCTGTAAGTATTGCGAAAATCCGACACACGCGTGAGTAAAACTATCAGTTTTTTCACTTGTACTGTAATATACTATTGCAGTTTTAGGTCATTAACTTTAATTTTTAATGTTAAGACACAGAACAATGTGAAAATTTTAAATAAGTAACAGACGAAATGACAGCGTCACGTGCAAAGCAAGCAAAATGAACGTTTATATTCTTAATAGAATGCGTCGAAACGTTTTCTTTTTTTTTTCATTGTCTGTGTCTTATCTTTATCTATTTTCAGATACATTGTGTAAAAATATTTGGTAATTGTAAAATTATTACAATAAGTTAAAGAAATATCAAAACTGCTAAAATTTTTAGCGACACCCTTGGGAATCGTTACCCACAGTTTAAGAAATCCCGCTTTAAACTTAGATCATATGCTTTCCTATGGAACTAGATCTCTCAAAACCCCCCTTTACTTCATTTAATATAGTAACACATTTGATTATTAATTACATAGAGAGGTGTGGTGATGACGCTTGCGTGGATAAGTGTCAGAACGACAAACGAGTTGTGTTCCCTTTTACTTCTTACGTCATAGACACAAAGGCGATCTATCAACGTCGCATATTTCACAGAATTCCCTCTAAACACACTCCATATGTCAAAGTGAAAGACACACCCAATGACGAAGACCTTGAGAAGGTCGCTGTACTTAAACGACAGAGCAATATTTGCATTTTTGATGCGACTTTGCCTTCAGTCATCGTGCAGATTGGTACAAACGGGAAATGAGTCTATTGGCGGTGTATGCATTTGTCCTTTTATTTCTACTTTTGATTCCTTGAAATGATTCATTTCCGCTTATGAACGTAAAGTTTCAATATGCCAATTTTTGAAATTGTTTTTGCTAAGTTCAAATTCCACCTCTGTGAGGTTACCTAAAAGATTTATAATAATCTTCTAAAAGAATTCAGCCCACAGTATGGATTTCCTAACAGACAGACAAAGTAGACAGATGTCTTGTTTTGCACCCGCTAAGTCTTTCTGCACCGATGGACGAAAAATCAAGCTTAGGTTCGAAGGAAAGGTATATAATATAGCAAGGGGGACAATTTCGGTTTCCAGAGAAGAGTAAAAAGAACTTCGTATTGTTTTATACGAGTTCAAAAGACCTGGAAGAAAAATTGAGACAAAATAAATTTTAAAATAAATGGCCCATAGTAGTTAATAGGAGAAAGAAAAGAATTTAAGAAAGAAAAAAAAAAAAAAAAAAAAAAAAAAGAAAAGAAAAGAAAAGATGGGCCTCGAGAGCAAAAGGAAGAGAAGTAAAAAATATCTTGCTATGTTAAAACGTCCATTTGTGTGTCAAAAACCGGGAAAAAAATATAAAAAAATAAAACCCCTTCCTCTGATTAGGAATGTAACGTGAAATAAAAAAAAAAAAAAAAAAAAAAAAAAAAAAATTAACATAAATTTGGAATATATAGATACCCTAGCATAATTTTGTAAATGAGCACATAAAGGAGATTTAGCTTGTAACTTATAAGGTATATAATCTAAGTTTGGGAATTTTGTAAAAAGGTATCAATACTGAGATACAGTTGCAGGTAA